GTGATGGAACAGTTCCTTAATATCCTATAGAAACCATGAGAAGAGGTGAGTGAGTGGATAAATCATGAACATGAGATGTTTACATCTAGTGATGCTGACTGCATAAGAAATTATGCAACTTAAAGAAATGTTGGGGTTTGTCCCAGCACAAAGACTCTTGCAGAGCATAATAAAACTTGTTAAAAGTTTAACTCTGGCCAGTGAACATGAATTAATTCAACTGTTTGCCCTGTACATGTTTTTGTATTAAATCTCTTAAAAAATGAATAGATGTGTGCGACATGCAATAAAAACGATTTACAGAGTGTATATATTGTTCAGGTTTGCAAATCGTGGGAATTGGAAACCAGAGTTTGCTACGTCACTGATCGTTCTGCAAAATAGACACAAAAAATTCATCACGAAAACAGAGCTGCTGATTTTTCTTTTTTCTTTTTCCTTTTTTTCTGAAAAAGTGGGTTAATGAAACAGAAGGGGACGGTGTACTTACAAATACTCAAGACGGGAGTAATTAAAAAGTTCTGCAGGTAGACACCCTTCAAAATTGTTTCCCAAAATTGACCTGTGAGCAGTGCAAAGTAATATTAAATTCAGATGTACATATCAACTTTGACAATTCATTTTGTTTTAACCTTATCACAAAAAAAGTTTAACTGTCAATGTCTCTATGAGATAACAATCTACAGACATTAGCTAACAGCAACCTGCTGTAGTATGTCTGAACCAAACATTAGCTTACAGCAAGATCTAATTTAGCAAAATATACATGAACCTGGGCAAAATATTCAATGCATCTCATAATGCAAAATATACAGAAATTGCTTCCAACATGCATATCCAATTTAATTGCCATTAGCTGTAATATTCACTGGCACACAAGAATGCATACCCTCTGCGTTCCCCAGTAGATAAGTCAACATTATTCATGGCATCCCAAAGAATTTTCAGGGGCACCCAATGAGGAGGATACTTAAAACGTGCAACATCCAAAAATAAGCGCCTTGTCATTTCCAGAATGATAGCCACCAATAGGTGAAAAATGACCAGTACCCATCTGCAATAAAAATTTGATTCTTACTAGTCAATACCTGATCAATTTTCAAAGAATTAGAGAGTGTGACAGAGGGAAATTTAAGCAAAATCCTTAAATGAGATAAACATCAGTATAGCAGTATAGTAATTCATAAGGCTGAGAATACCAAGCATATCTACAGCTAACTTAAAATAATGGTTCCACCGAAGAAAATGTAGAGTAGTATGGCAATTAATAATACCTGTTTGAGAGCTGCTCTATCATATGATGAGATCACATGACAATCATCAGAAGTAGAACATCTCGAGACACCTACTATGATGGAAAATCATGGATTAGAAAAGTTTACTACATTCAAGACATTTGCAAACCATTATGGAGTCAATAATGAGAGACAACAC